GCAGTCAAGAACGCAGCACATACCAGTGAACACAGCGCATGGTAGTAAATAACGCATGTAGGTAAAGAACGCAGTGCATACCAGTGAACGCAGCGCACGGTAGCAAAAAACGCAGCGCATACCAGTAAACACAAACGCACAGCAGTCAAGAACGCAGCGCATGTATTCAAGAACGCAGCGCATACCAGTAAACGCAACGCACGTCAAGAATGCAGAACACACCAGTAAACGCAGCGCACAGTAGCCAAGAATGCAGCGCATACCAGTAAATGCAACGCACAGTAGTCAAGAACGCAGCACATACCAGTGAATGCAGCGCATACCAGTAAACTCAACGCACGGGGTAAAGAACGCAGCGCATGCCAATGAACGCATCGCATTGTAGCAAAGAACGCACGGAGGTAGAGAACGCAGCGCATACCAGTAAACGCAACGCACAACAGTCAAAAACACAGCACACAGTAGTAAACGCAACACACGGCAGTAAAGAATGCAGCGCATACCAGTAAACACAACGCACAGTAGTAAAGAACGCAGTGCATACCAGTAAACGCAGCGCACTGTAGCAAAGAACGCACGGAGGTAGAGAGCGCAGCACATACCAGTGAACGCAGCACACGGTATTCAAGAACGCAGCGCATACCAGTAAACGCAGCGCACAGTAGTAAAGAACGCAGCACATACCAGTAAACACAACGTACGGTAGTCAAGAATGCAGCGCATACCAGTAAACGCAACGCATGGTAGTCAGGAACACAGCGCATACCAGTAAACGCCCAGTAGCAAAGAACACACAGAGGTAAAAAAAACACAGCGCATACCAGTGAACGCAGCGCACGGCAGTCAAGAACGCAGCACACGGTAGTTAAGAACGCAGTGCATACCAGTGAACGCAGCACACAGTAGCAAAGAACGCTGCGCAGAGTAGCCAAGAATGCTGCGCATCCCAGCGAAGGTAGTCAAGAACGCAGTGCATACCAGTGAACGCAGCACACAGTAGCCAAGAATGCAGTGCATACCAGCAAACTCAGCGCGTGGCAGTCAAGAACACACAGAGGTAAAGAACGCAGCGCATACCAGTGAACGCAGCGCACAGTAGTCAAGAACGCACGGAGGTAACGAACGCATCGCATACCAGTGAACGTAGCGCAGGTAGTCAAGAACGCAGCGCACACTAGCCAAGAATGCTGCACATACCAGTAAACGCAGCACATACTTGTAAATGCTACGCACCGTTGTAAAGAATGCAGCACACACCAGTAAACACAACGCACAGTAGTAAAGAACGCAGCGCATACCAGTAAACACAACGTACGGTAGTCAAAAACACAGCGCATACCAGTAAATGCAGCGCACGCTAGTCAAGAATTCAGCGCATACCAGTAAACGCACAGTAGCAAAGAACACACGGGGTAAAAAACGCAGAGCATACCAGTGAACGCAGCGCATGATAGTCAAGAATGCAGTGCATACCAGTGAACGCAGCGCACAGTAGTAAAGAACGCAGTGCATACCAGTAAACACAACGTACGGTAGTCAGGAACACAGCGCATACCAGTAAACGCAACGCATGGCAGTCAGGAACACAGCGCATACCAGTAAACGCAACGCATGGTAGTCAGGAACACAGCGCATACCAGTAAACGCCCAGTAGCAAAGAACACACAGAGGTAAAAAAAACACAGCGCATACCAGTGAACGCAGCGCACGGAAGTCAAGAATGCAGAGTAGCCAAGAATGCTGTGCATACCAGTGAACGCAGCACAAAGTAGCAAAGAACACAGCGCACAGTAGTAAGGAATGCAGCGCAAACCTGTAAACACAGCGCACGGTAGTCAAGAACGCAGCGCACAGTAGTAAAGAACGCACGGAGGTAAAGAACGCAGCGCATACCAGTGAACGCAGCGCACAGTAGCAATTAACGCAGCGCAGGTAGTCAAGAACGCAGCGCACAGTGGTCAAGAAGAGAATGTGCGTCAGTCTCCCGGTACAATGAGCTGTGATTGGTGTCACCGGCCTCTTCTTCCTCTGTACACATTCCCCCGCCACAGTTTCCTGCACTATCACTGGTTGGATGACAGGAATGTGCGTCCTGCAAGTCACTGATCATATAATTCACTCACCACTGTCAGACTTCAGGGTTCGGGGTCACAGGTCACTTCGGGGTGACAGGTCACTTGTTTTCATGCATATCCCTGGAACAGGTCCCTGCAGTTCTTAGCATCACCACTAGATGTCACAGACGTATAAGGTAATGATCGGCTCTCCTGAGCGGCAGCAGCGTACACAATCACAATGCCACGCACCAACAACAAGAAGCGCTCCGCTTAAAGCGGCGATAATCCATCCATCCAGTTATACCTGCAGGCCACTCTCTCTGCGTAAGCTCTTAATCCAGTTGCGCTCTCTCTTTGGAGGAGCCGTCTGCCCTGTTTGTGAGCAAATACAATCATTTACAATGTGCAGAGATGTGTCATGGAGAGGTTTGGTGACACACAGTACCAGTAACACACAGACGGGCCGATCTATCAGGTCAGAAGACCCCCTTTCTGTGTTGTCACCTCATAATGTATCCCACACATCAAAGCGTAAGGCCTTGTCCACACCAAATGCAGACCAGATCTGCTCAGGTTTCTGCACACGCAGTGCAGTGGGTTGTGCCGGGTTTTTGGTTTAGTTTAGAATGGGCTTTTAGTGCGTTCCAGGGCGTTTGCATGCGTTCCAGAGCAGGAAAAATAGGGCTCGCTGCAGTTGTTTTTTTACATCCTCTGGAACTGAACGCTGCGGTGTGAATTTGAGCCCAAAATACCATTGGAACACATTGGACGCAGCTTTGCTCCGGTCTGTAACTGCTCTGCTCCTGGAACACGCTTGGTGTGAACAAGGCCTAAGGCAACTCTCCCCCTTCATTGCATTGCTGGAAGCCACACAATGATCAGTAGGCTACAATAGAACTGGCCGTCAGTGTGCACATAACATGGGGGCTCATAGTTGTCACCTCGGCACAGTTTTGTGTCAGCAATACAAAATGTTATTTAAACTCCTGGAACTAAATGATGTCATTTAAAGCAGTGGTTCTCAACCTGTGGGTCGGGGACCCAAAAGTGGGTCGCAACCCACAGATGAGGGGGTCCCCACATGCCTCGTGCTGCTCTAGGTAAGAGGCTCCTCAGCCCCCTCTAGCGTGGCAGCGTCAGTTCTCCTAGGTGGCGCTGCAGTGGCCGGAGAGGATCAGAGAGAGGGGAGCAGGCAGGAGTGAGGGAAGGTGAACGCTCCATCACCACAGAGCCCACAACTAGGCACTACAGAGCCCACACTGGACGCCACCAGAGAGTCCCACTAGCCACCTGAGAGCCCGCATAGCCTCCTGAGAGCCAACACAGATACTAGTATTGGTGCATCCCTAAATTTTACAGTTGGGGGTCACCACAACTTGGCAAATGTTACCAAGGGGTCCCGGCCCTACAAAGGTTGAGAACCACTGATTTTAAGCATGGCAGGTCCCATCAGTTTTTGTGGGGAGCTTTGGTGGGCAGATGGGAGAACGTTTTACTAAATATTTCCATACAGCTGCTGGCCAGCTACAGGAACTCCCCGATCACATCAGGCACACCAGGAATGTCTCATGGAAGGACCGTGTGGAAGGACTGTGGTTGCAAGGTCCTACAAAACCAGTAAATGAAAACCTTCCATGCAAGCTGTGATGAGGAAAGATGTGGCTCACCTCGTAAACGACTGACTATGTCCTCAGGACACCAGCTGTGCCATGCAGCTTCCCGGCCACTTCCAGTTTGGGCCGCAATCTTCCCCTTTTGGCTACAGAAAGAACCTACGTTACTCTCTGCCCACGCTTCCTTTGCTGCTGGTGGGAAAAGCCAAGTGCTGAGTACTTTGGCTGTCTGCCCATTAACCAGTCTAACCAGTCTAACCAGTTACATGGGCAATATTTTGGCCATTGGTCTAAACTCCGCTCACATCCATACTCGCCCAAATGATTAATCACCTGCAAGGGCCGCTGGCACTTTGGTTTGGTGGTTTTATAACCTTATCAAATATAACTACTTCATAGTCTACATCGTATAGATTTTTTTGGGACACTTTGTGGCTGCCCCTTCCATGCACCTGAAGTGTATTCTATGTGTGCTGGAATATTACATTCCTTGCTTTCTGCATGGGAGGGGGGGAATCCAGCCCCTCCCGTGTCACTGTAGAGAGCCGTGACAGGATCGAGAGGTGAGCGAACGCTCCCAATCTACTGAGCCGACCTGTGACAGTCTCATTGTCACAGGTCGGCTAGAACTAAGAGGTGAGTGAAAATCACTCACCTCATAGTTCTCCTTTAAAGAGAACCTGTGCTTTGTCCAGGCAGAGCAATGACACAGGTTCAGTCTGTTGCTGCTTTCCCCACCTTCACTCCGCCACAGCTCCATTCACCTTCTGCTACAAAGAGAGGACATCTTGTGTAAGCTCTGAGTGATGGGCTGGATCTCAAACTGCTCTAAAGGACCGATGTGAGAGCGCGGAGTGCTTTGGCGCTGTCACATTGAAGGAAATGGAGTTAGTAATCTACTTCCGTATATCCTAAAGTAAAGGGAAGGTGATAGTGGGCAGCCCGAGAGGGCGGCAACTGACCTTGTGCAAGTCTAAAAGTAAATCAGTACTTTGTTCATGAAGGACAAAACAACACGTTCACATCAAAGAGTTACAAGACATGTAAAATAAAGCAAGGAAAACTCCTCTAAGGTCTCCCCTCCCAAGGCACCAGGGGGCCTCGGGTCCCTCTACTGCAGTGCTTCTCAAACCGGGCCTCGGGTCCTTCTACTGCAGTGCTTCTCAAACCGGGCCTCGGGTCCTTCTACTGCAGTGCTTCTCAAACCGGGCCTCGGGTCCGTCCTATAATGCAGTGCTTCTCAAACCGGGCCTCGGGTCCCTCCTATAATGCAGTGCTTCTCAAACCGGGCCTCACTGTTTATACTTCTTGGTAAAATGTATATTTTTAGCTGTTCAAATATTTCCCTAACTATAAAAGAATAAATATTCCTCCCACACATTGCATTTTAGTAAACGCTCCTCATTGCTGTGTTTATTATTTACAGAGCAGCAAATATATGAAAAATGGCACCTTCAGGAACAGATATGACAACTTGTTTGTAGAGAAAATTGGAGAGATTTTAAACAAGGTAAGTGAAAAAAAATGTCAACCTCCTTTTTTTCTTTTCTGTTCAATAGTTTTATTGATTTTTTGAAAAGTAAAAAAGAGTAGAGAGTGGGGAGCGCACCCCCCCCCCCCCCCCCCCCCCCACTTTAAATAACC